AGCAGGCCCGGAATGTGAATGGCACGAAGCGACCTCAGATGCTTCTGACTCCAGAGGAGGAGGTGGGAGGTGAGTTGCGACATGCGACGGGAGCGTAGACCACCTTGTCGGTTGATGTACGCAACGGTCGCAGTGTTGTCCGTACGGACTAGTACGTGCTTGCCTCGTGAGCGCCCTTTGAGACGGATCAAGGCAAGCCGCACTGCCAGCAACTCGAGGCAATTGATGTGCCAGTGCAGTTGGGGGCCCGTCCAAACACCCGACACTGCAAGCCCATCAAACGTGGCCCCCCAGCCAGTGGTAGAGGCATCCGTGTGAACCACAGCATGCCTGGAGACCTGCTCTAGGGGCACTCCTGCCCGGAGGCACGGTTCGCCCTGCCGGGGGGAGGCGGTATTAGGACACAATTGCATGGCAACCGACCGCTCCACCGGGGAAACCCTTGTATACCCCCTAGCTGCACCGTCCCGGAGGGCGGCAGCTCAGCCGAATCTTCCTCTCCAGAGAGCTTTCCCTCCAATGCAGTGATCGACATCCGGTCGTCGGGAGAAGCACCGAAGAATACCGCTGGTACGCTCTTTGAAGAGGGCCCAGAGCGTTCCTTTGGCGGCTCGTCTGCTTGCGCTTCGCTAGAGGAGTGATGGTTTGCCACCACTGTAACCCTCAGACCGCCCGTGTTACTGCCCGAAGTAGTCCTCGCCTGGCTGCCGCCAAGACGAACACTAGATCGCGGCAGAGGCAACGGAGCTCCACCCCCCTCGAGGTAACAGAGCCTGGCCCGCAGCTCCGAGATGGTCATCTTCCCGCAATGGGAACATGACTCATCCACGAACGCCACCGTTTAATGCTTAATGCTCAGACATGTGAGGCAGCAATCGTGACCAATGTGCCAGGTAACGACCGCATCCCACGGGTGAAGGGTGAAACGGCATCTATAAAAAGACGATCCGTTGTCTTAACAAAGACGCACCCATGTAAGCTCTTTTAGAGATATAGGCTCTTTCAGGGAAATGCTCTTTTAGGTGCTGAGACGTACAGGGGAGATGGCCGCTTGCAGCCTGATAGGGGGTAGTGCAGCCTGAAGTGCGCAACCCACTCGACACAGGAACAACCACCGCTGAAGCGCCGTCCGCCAACACAAGAAGCTCCCTAGAACGCGTCGAACTCGTCGTCACAAACCAAGATATTGGTAGGAGCAGAACAATGTCGCTCGGCTCCGAAGCGAAAAGCTGGTATGCGTTGCACCGGCTGCCTTTTTATGCTCACGCTGTGATCAGCAGCAGCTGGATGCAATCATCACATGCCAATTGGAGCTTTTCCACTGCATGGTACGGTTCCGTACGGTTCACTTTTGGGGGGTTTTCCACTGGGTACAGTACCTGGTACTTTTTTCAGTACCACCTCGGTTGAGATTCCAAGTGAACCGTACCGTTGCGACACAAAAACAACAGAACTGCTAGATTTAAATCAGCACAGCCAGTGAAGGATCGAACGCAACTGTTTTGAACGAGCATACAGACGTTCCTCTTGTTGATAGCAGAGCTTGATGGGGCGACGCGGAATGAAAAAGTTTTTCAGGAGTCGCAGCAATAGAGGCGGCGCAACTATAACAGCATGTGAATAATCCCGCCCACTCTAAAGCGGTACTAACCTGCAGTGGAAACGAGCCGAGCCGAACCGAGTCATACCACGCAGTGGAAAAGTGCCAAATGTGAATTGGCTCGTTTAGTTTACACTCGAAGTGGATTGGTCTCTCTAAGCGAGATCCCAATTCGTCGGTCACTGATGTGACTTTGAGAGTGACCGACTAAAAGGGAACTGACTACATTAAAAACACTTAAAATAAATGATTACTTTTAAAACACATACAATAAATGATTAGATTTAAAAACTTTAAAATAATTGATTACATTTAGAACACTTAAAATAATTAATTACATTTAAAAGAAGTAAATAATTGAATTTAAAATAAATGATAAAATGTATAATATTTCAAATGAATCATTATATATAAAAAAATTTAAATAACTAATTAAATATAAAACCCTTGAAATAGCTGATTAAATTTAAAACACTTAAAAAGGCTGATTAAATTTAAAAACACTTAAAATATATGATTAAATGCAAATCATTTAAAATAATAATTTAATTTTAAGACAGATAAAGTAACTGATTAAATAAAATAATCAATTAAATTAAAACATTAAAAACTATTTATTAAATTTAAAACACGTAAAATAACCAAATAAATTAAATATAATTGTTTAACAGTTAATAAATGTGTTTTATATGGTTCAAAAAATAAGGTTGAAAATGCCAAGTTTGCAAAGAGATGAAAAGACAACTGAACAAAAGAAAAAAAAAAAAGAAATCGGCATTGATGTTCCCAGATGACCTCTGACCTGTAGTGACCCCTGACGACCCCGTCGGGGTTCAGCATGGGAATGAGTTTGAAGACGAACATCCTGCGGAGCGTCTGAGCGCGAGGATCGTCTGGACTCAAGATGAAGTTCAGGAAGCCATTAAAAACGAAACTAGACGGCGTCTCACCGGGATGAACACGACTGCTCAGAAAAAACACCTGAACGCACGAGAGAAAACACACACACACACACACAGACACACACACAGACACAGACACAGACACAGACACAGACACAGACACAGACACAGACACAGACACAGACACAGACACAGACACAGACACAGACACAGACACAGACACAGACACAGACACAGACACAGACACAGACACAGACACAGACACAGACACAGACACAGACACAGACACAGACACAGACACAGACACAGACACAGACACAGACACAGACACAGACACAGACACAGACACAGACACAGACACAGACACAGACACAGACACAGACACAGACACAGACACAGACACAGACACAGACACAGACACAGACACAGACACAGACACAGACACAGACACAGACACAGACACAGACACAGACACAGACACAGACACAGACACAGACACAGAGACACACACACACACACAGGAATCACGTGTGTGATCTGATCATGTTCTGGAATCATGAGGAAATCACATCAGGAGTGAATGTCTGATACCCGTTTGCCGCTGAAGCCGTGCGGTCGAGGCGTGCCGAGGTCCGGGAAGAGTCTCTCCAGCCGCGGCTCTCTCTCCTCCAGCAGACCGTGACACGACGAGACCGTGATCAGATCCACCCTGTGACCATCCAGAGAGTAACACAGCAGCTCACGGTGATAGTAGATGCTCTCCAGCGGACTGCAGACCAGAAAAACACCATCAGACAAGCAAACTACAAACTGCACCGCTTCACTGCAGGAAGAAAGGGAGGTTTTTACGAAATAAGAACAATTAAAAAAAGGAAAAGACACATTAAATGTGTTTAAAATATATCAATGTATAAAAAGTGGAGGGGAAACTAAATATGCAATACATTATATGGTTCTTAACACTTAAAAAAAAAAAATTATGCAAAATGTGCAATAAATATAATAGTGTTCATTTAACATTTAAAAATTAAAATGATGCCCCAAACATACATTGAAATATATAGTACATATGTAACATTTCAAAAACTAAAAAAAAAAAAAGCAAAATGTGCTATATATAAAATTAATTTAACATTTAAACATGAAAACATGCATTAAAGGTGCATTAAAAAATATAGTGTATATTTAACCTTTCAAGAATAGAAAAAGCAAAATGTGCATTATTTATAATATAGTGTATTTTCTTTTTTGACACAAAAAAAGAAAGTAATGCAAAATGTGCAACACAATTTAGTGTTAATATTTAAAAAATACACAATGTAAATGTACAATAAAATATGTAGTGTATATTAAACATTTAAAAATAAAATTTAATGCAAATGTGAAAAATATTTTATATTTATAAAATATTTTAGTTTTTAGCATTTAAAAAAATGCAATATATATAGTGTATAATTATAAAATATAGTATATAGTATAGTAAAATTATATAGTGTATATTTAACGTTTCAAAAAAACAATAATGCAAAATATGCGATTAAATTTATAGTGCATATTTAACATTTCAAAAATAGGTAATAATGCAGAATGTGGATTTAAATATGTAGTGTATATTTAACATGTAAATGTTTTTTTTAAATGTGCAATAAAATATATGTACTGTATATTAAACGTTTAAAACTAAAATTTTGTGCAAATGTGAAAAATATGTATAGTTTTTAGCATTAAAAAAATACAATGCAATATGCATATAGTATAGTAGAAAGTAAAAGTATATAGTGCATATTCAACATTAAAAAAGCAAAATGAGCAATAAAATATAGTGTCATTTCTTTGTTTTTTTTTACATAAAATAATGCAAAATGTGCAATAAAATATATATATAGTTCATTTCTGATGTGAGAAATGTGACTGCGGCGGGTTTAGTGGTTCTGCACCTGCAGGGCCCCGGCGTGTGTGCGGCGCTCAGGAGCCTGTGGTCGAGCTGCAGCATCATGTCCTGACACTCCGTGTACGAGAACGGATAACAGAAGGAGAAGTATGTGGTGACACCGCGCACCTCCAGCAGACGATGAACAAACGACAGGATGAACTGACCGTCTGACATCTGCACACACACACACACACACAGACACACAGACACACAGACACAGACACAGACACACACACACACACACACACACACACACACACACACAGAAACACACACACACACACACACAGACACACA